CGGGCGGGAAGAGGCCGCCGGGGGCAGGGGGCCGCAGCCTCCCGCAGCCCGCGCCCGGGACCCGCGCTCCCCGCCCGCCGCACCTGCCCTCTTCCCCGCTCGCGGGGGGCGCCTCCCAACTCCGTTTGAGTTTATTCCGGGAGATTTCATTACATGGCATAATGACGTGAAGGACTTCACAGCAGAAAGGCAAATGCACATTACTATTACATTTTTAAAACCTACTGGACTACTGTATCAATCGGGTTCCGCATTTCATGTTTGTTTCAATGAATGCCCTAACATTGATCTGCCGGGTGACTTTCAGCAGCCTCCTGGCGAGTTATAGCTAATTCCTGGAGACTCCAAGGTGATCCTGGAGGGTTGGGGCAAGAGCGACAGGACAACCTGGGCCCCAACGCTGGCTCCCTGCAGGGAAACGCACCCAAGGAGGGGCCCTACCTTTGCCGCCATGGCCACAGCGGGGGAATAAAGGGTCCTGTGAGGATGGGTCCTAGCTGGGGCCCTCCCAGAGCAGGAGAGGGCTGCAGGCCTCATGGGTGCAGAGCTGATGAAGCAGAAGAGTGTGGAGGTGCAACCAGGGGTTTGGGGACTGGCAGAGCCATGCGGAAGCTCGAGAGGGGTGGAGGGAAGGGCTGGGGTCTTGTTGCAGAGAGGACCAGGGTGGTTGAAAGTTTCAGAGGGCACTTGGGGTCAAGGGGTAAATGTGGAAGCCAGAGTACAAGGGAGACTGGAGTAGAGTGTGAGATTTGGAGATGGGACAACCACAGTCCTCCCAGGAAAGCCCAGTCAAGGAGGATAGGAGAAAAGGAGGCAGAAGATAGGGTGCTTGAAAAGAGGGTGTGGTGTGTTTTGGAAAATAGAGGGGTGGGGGGCAGCCACAGGGGAGAGAAGAGAAGGGACTGGGAAGAAGAGGAAAAGGTGTTTGAAGAAAAAGTGAGCAAACCTCTTTTTGGTAGAGTTTGTGGAGGTACAGAAGGATTCAGAGAAATAGGAAAGCGATTAGGAGAGAGAGATGAAAGATGGGGTTTGAGGGAAAGGCAGGAGAATACAGAGGATATAACAGGGTGGAAAGAAGAAATCTGGAGGAAGAGAATGGGAGATTAGGGAAAGGTGGGGAAAGGGTTTACAAGAGAGACTTGGTTCTCTGCCAACCTAGGGGAGACTAGCAAAAGTGAGGAATGCAGCTGTGCTTGGAGGGAGAAAGTAAGGAGATACTGATGGGGAGCAAAAAGAGACTGGGGGCAGGTGTTTAAAATGAGAAGAGGACAAAATAGCGGGGGGGAATATGACTTAGTTGAGTGAAAGAGAAATATGATTTAGTTGAGTGAAAGAGAATAAAGACTGGATAGGAGAAGAAGCAGGTCCTTCAGCAGGGGAAAGAGACTAGGGAGGATAAATAGGTTTGCGGGTGGGGTCAAGAAGCCAGTGGAGGTAGGAAAGTATGACAGGTTTAAAGTAAATAGGAGAGTTTGGAAAAAGAAGGGAGAGGAGTGTAAGGGTAAGGAAGGACGCGGCTGAGAGGATTCTGACAAAGGGGGAGGGAGAAATATGTGACGGGGCGAAATGGAAAAGACTTGGAGACAAAAAGCACCAGCCAAAGACAGCTCTTGGCAAGGCCTGGGGAATACAGGAAGAATCTAGCTAAAGAGTAAGGACTTAGCTGCAGGGAGACATTCGGGAATGCTGAGGCCATCTATCTAAAAGAAGCTAAAGGTGTAAACATAAATTAAACATCTTAAATCCCCAGGAGGATGTTCCTATTTCAGACTAAAGTGGCCTTGGATTCTGTAGCTTACTCCTTGAAGGAAGATTAAGATAAAAGTATATAAAGCCACTTTCCTCCTGAATTGTGCAGTTTAACATGCATTACCTTGCATACACTTGCATCATCACTTAGTTGATACACACTGACTTAGCTGAAAGCTCCCATGTAGCCAAAACCCAAAGAGGCAGGACGGGGCAAATTCATCATTATAATAGTAGGATCATTATTTAAGCGTTCATAACACCCAGAGCCCTCAGTTATGAGTGGGCTCCTTCATATAGGCCAGAAAACAGAACTTGTACAGTCCATCTGCAGGCAAGAACACAGGAGAATAAAACTAGAGGTTACCAGGGGAAGAAGGGAGTTGTCCATCCTCCACTTTCTGCAAGTCTGTAAACAAGATTCTTTCAGTGTGCAGGAACCCAAGGATTCCCCTCCATTTGGGCACACACTAGACAAGGGGCAAAACACAGACAAGCCGTGGTCTACACTTTCTGCTTCAGAACCTATTGTTGATAAGGAAATGATGGAACCACAAGCTCATCATGCCATTCCACTCCTTCCCAGACAAATCTTTCCTGAGCTATTTATACAGATCATGATGGATGTCTATTCTAGTGCTACCCTTGACTACTATAGGGAAGGTTATGACAGCTGTTTCCCTGTAAGTTACATTATGGGGGTGGAGTTGGGGGACAGATTTAAAGGGGGGAAAATTATATTGGCAATAATATCAAGTGAGAGGTAAAAGATTGGCTCTAGGGACAATTTACCTGCGTCAATATTTGCTTGTTTCTCTTTTTATTTAAAAAAAAAAGGAAAGGTGTAATAAGCCACTCCACTTCCTCTAGTTTGGAGGAAGCCTTTTGGTCCCCAAAGTGTTAGCTGTAAGGCTTTCCTGCAAACATCTCATAAAACCTCTTTGGTACATATTATGAGGCTTGATCATGCTTCCTAACAGCCAACTGGGAGCATACGGCTACATATCTTGTAAAATCAGCCACATATACTGCAGCTGCTTTTTAAAAGGTGCACTGCGGTGCTTGCCACCCATGCATTCAGCCTGAAGAAGTAAATATTAAGTGTGATGCAGAGAGGTTTACCTGAATGTCTGCGATTAGTGTTAATGGAAACCGCATGGTAAATCTCTATGCACCTTGCTTTAAATGCACCCCCATGAGAGTATTTACAGCAGCCAGACTGACACAGACTGCAAAAGCACTGAGGAACTGTCAAATATATAGGTTTTATGATTCAGTACCTTAAATAATAATTTATGCTGAAAACAGAGCCAAAAATGTCTGTAATGCAAAAATTCCTCTTTGAAAAGGATTTGAATATGCTTACTCTGGGTGAACAGCATACTTTATTAATATATATATAAATACAATACTATTGGTTTCTATAATGAACCTGCTAGGCTGTGAGGAAGTTGTAGAAAGAGATACTTTTTTTCTTTTTAACCCTTAATGTTTATCTTTATTTTGTTTTGTGTTATGGTGGCCCACAGTCTTGCCAACCAAGACCAGGATTCCACAGTACTAGGATTGTACAGTATGACAAAATCTCTTTTTAAAAGAACTTGGGCTAAATAAGCAAAGCAGGAAAAACGTGGGAGAAAAGAAGGACAAATAACTCTATTCTATAGATGGGGAACTACGGGACAGACAGATTAAGTGACAAAAGAAATCTATAACATAACTGGGAAGTGAACCCAGATCAGATGCCTTAACCACATTTTCTATTTATTTTTACATTATAGCCAATGAGTCCTATGATCTGTTGTGACATCCCATATACTGTTCTTCCACCAATAAGAAGCCAAGGATATTTACTGATAAACATTCATTTAAATAAAATATTTTAATAACTGAAATAATACGGATGGTGTGACATCAATTTTCAGATTTAATATTAATGATATTATTAAGGGTCAGCTTTTATGTTGATCCACAGGCATCCATGCCCATTACCTTCCATAGTTTTGCCTTGGAGACTGTGTAAGTCATTTACTCACACACATTTCTAATAAGAGCATTATTTAAGGACTGTAACTTTAATTTCCATTTTATGTTTCTTTGTGGCCAGTGGTCATATTATGTAAATGTAGTATCTGATCCCAGACCCCCAATTTCTGAAGGATTATTTCCCATCTGAGATTCATGCAGTCACACTCCTTCCATCTCCTGAGAAGTGCAATAACTCCCACACTGAAAACACAAACTCACTTCGGCCTGACATGTTTTATTGGCCTCGTGAAATGGAAATTATAAAACGAGGGGGAAAAGGTCATAGTCATGCATTCTCTACGAATTACTGACATGGGTCTGACATCAGAGACAGTCCATCAGAAAGCTCCATTTGTGTTTGGAGATCTAAGGCTTATTTTTTGTCGTAATTTCCCCAGTGTGGATACAAGATATCTGCTGGACAAAGGGATTTGCCTTTAGAGATATACAGTCTGCTGCACAGATTCGGGTAGCTCCAAGGTTACGGTCAACTATACTTTTTTCCATTCCATTATGCATTTGAATCATGATGGTTACAATTTCTTCTAATTAAAGGGACTAATGCCTAGATGAAACAATTAGCAGCTTTTTTAGAAATAATATTAAAGCACATCATAGTGTCAGCACAGTTAAAAAGGCTGACTTCCATTAATAAAAAACAAGTGAATGAAGATTGTTTCTTAACTTTAAAAAATGCTTAAGACATATTTCTACTTACAAATTTGCATGCCTCTATATTAGGTTAGTCCTTGATCCTGCATTGTACACTCGAGCATCACTTATTACAATATCAGGGCCCTGGAGTATCTGTTCTTTTTTACTTGGACTTGCTATTTCTGTACACTTGTACAACACCCAGTTAAAGGGAGGATGTGATCTCATTGGTGCCTCAAGCCACAGTACAAATTTATAGTAAATAATGTCATCATTATTTAACATTTAAAAATAACATTGCAGTTTCAATATGACCATGTTTTGACCAATTTGTACGTCATACTTATTTATTTATCTCCAAAGCACATTGCAAGATGGTGTCCAACAAAGAGAAAATGACAGAAAGTGCTAATCTTATGGGTCAAATGTTGATCATATAGCTTACCATGCTCTAGGAAGATATTACAATTACAGCAGTGTTGGGAAGGAATTTGTGTGTTTCTATAAGGAAGAAAGCAGACTTAAAATATAGCATTGTAATACAAGTATCTTAATATCTTAAGTCTAAATAACTTCAGTAATTGCATTATAGAAGAATAAATAGTATTCACCTTATTTTAAAAACTGAAAAACAGAGTGTGAACCTGCTAGTCAAATATAGTGACTTGCTTTTTTTATCTGTGAGCAAAATTTAGCTCTGGTATAAACAGAAGCAACAGTACTTTGTTCACTGATGATTCTTTACAGCAAAATTGACTTAGACCCAGTTTCTTCCAAATTACTTGTTCTTTTTTCTCAGTGCTTTTAAAAATGCCCTCAGTGTTAGAACTGAGTTATATAGTGTTTTGCCACTGCTACTAACTAGGTCCATTGCCATATCTAGTAGCGCACATATGTTCCTCTAGAGATTTATGCAGTTCAATAGCTTTTAATAAATAAACAACATGGCCACTGAATACGCTCTAACAAACTCAGCTTGAGCAATGACTATAAATATAAACATTTCTTTCTCTATATGCTGCAATTGTTAATGTGTTAATTAAATTCAAGAATAAACCTATGTTTAAATAATTTAACCTAAATAAATGAACTAAATAAATAAATTCATGTTTTATAATCTTTTGGAAACATATATAAACAAAAGACAGACTTTTTTGTAAAGGGGAAAAATCTTTATTGGCTTAAAGATTTGGCTCTGACTTCATCCAGAATAGCTAAAATAAGGCTGCCAATATGTTCTGGCCTTCTCCTTTATTTTAAGGAAAAGTTACAGACTTAGGTTACAATTTTGAAGGTGTGCAGGAGGTTCAAACATACATCTTCTATGAAAATTAATGGAAGATGTAGGGCCAGATCCCCAGCTTTCAAATTTACAGGTACAGTTTTGGTCTTACTTCTGAATTTCCTTGCTTTTGTCACTTCATTAAATTCCAATAGGCATCACTGACCTCATTTTATGACCCATTTTCTTAAAGATTAATTTTGAGGAAGGAACGCATTTTTTTTTACTTTTGTTACTTTATTCAGGAAAGGATTGCTATTCAAAAATAGCTTAAACATATCACTAAATTTAACTAAGTATTTAATAAATAGCTGCTTAAGTGGTTGCCTAAATAGATATGAACTTAAGCATGTATTTTCATTTTTTTCTTGAATTTAGGCCTTAATCAGACATAGCTCAGGAATATACTCTGAATCCCCTCCAGATTCACGTTTCCTTGGCTGAAAAAGATATACCCCTCTGAAGTAGGTCTCTGATCCAGAGGATCAAGACTTAATCATATTTCCTTCCTACTCCCCTAGATCATCACCACACATATTGAATAGAAAAGAAAGGAGGTTCAGCTGCTTATTCCTCCTTGGCTAGGGACAGACGTTACACATACACTGGTTTAAGTGATCAAAAACTGGTTTAAACCTGTAACAGAACAAAAGGTCAGTGCACATAAACCAGTTTCAACATAGCCAAAACCAGTTTGAGATAAACCTGGTTGAACATAGTATCAGATTTAACTGACTGAACTCAACTATGCAATATCTATCCCAACCCCTTTCCTTGTTTAGGTTAAACCAGAGTCCCCCAGCATCCTGGTATTCTTTTAGCTGTGCTCTCTGCTCCAGCAGAGCAGGGCTGGCCGCGCCCCTCTGCTCCCCAGCCAGAGCAGGGACAGGCAGGGGCGGAGGGTCTGGCCAGACGCTGTCCCCCAAAGGGAACAGGTAAGAGGTTCATTCCCCCCTCCCTCCCCTGTCCCACCAGTACGACTTGCATTTCTCTGCTGGCTACTCCAGCGGTGGGGGCATGGCCAGACACAGCAGTAGCCTGGAGTGAACTGGCCAGGGAGGGGGTTTAATTCCCACCTCCTTGTCCCACCAGCATGGACCCAAGCTGGGGTCTGCCAGGCACCCCCCCCTCACTGTCACAGCTCCCAGGGCACAGCCAAAGGCCAGCCAACATGGCCCCCTTAGGCAGGGGAGATTAGGGAGAGGGTTATTCCCCACTCTGCCCTCTCTGCCCTCAGGGACTGCGATGGGGTCTGCCCACCCTGACTCCCACTGCCACTCGCTCCCAGTGCGGGGAAAGCAGTGGGCTAAGCCCCCTCCTATCCTCTCCGCCAGGCACCAGTGGGAGTGGGGAATAACCCCCCTCTCTGCTCCCCCAACTAAGGGGCTGTGCTAGCTGAGCTCTGGTTATGTCCCTGCCCCCGCCACTGGAGCAGTGAGAGGGCAAGGCCCTTGATGGGGGCAGTAGCCCCTGCTATGGTGTCCAGGGAGTGCAAGCCTCTTCCTGGCAGGGGCTGCGAGTGAGGATCAGAGCTGCTGTGGACTGTGTGGTGTGAGCAGCAGCACCAAGGCCCAGATGGGGCCATAACCCCCCAAGCCCCTGTAACGTGGCCCCACTACCAGAAAGAGGCTCATGCTCCAGGACACTATGACAGGGGTTACAGCCCCCATCACAGTCACTCCCCCATTGCAACTCCAGCGACAATGGCACAACCTCTTAGATGAGAGGGCAGGGAGGAGGGGTTATTCTCCCCTCCCTCCAGCATCTGGTGGATGGGCAGGAGGAGGCTTTTCCCGTGGTTCATCCCATGCAGGGAGCAAGCAGCAGTGGTGGCAGCAGTTGGGGCAGGCAGACCCTGCTGCGGTCCCCCAGGGACAGAGGAGGGAATAGCCCCCCTCCCTGCCCCCCACTTATAGGGCCATTCCCCACTCCTGCTGCTGGAGTGGTGAGGGGGGAGCAACCATGATGGGGGCAGCTGCCCGTCATGGTGTCCTGGAGTGTGAGCTTCTTTCTGGCAACCCATGCTGCGAGCTGGGGTTGTGCTGTGGGGAAAGTTGCTACAGACTGTGCAGGGGGAGCAGTGGCAGCAGTGCTAGGAGGGTTTGTGAGGGCTATGGCCCCCTCCAAGCCCTGGTGCTGCCGCTCACACCGTGCAGTCTGCAGCAGCTCTAACCCCCACTCACAGCCCCCTCCCCAGGAAGAGACTCACACCAGGACAGGCATGTGCCTGCATTTCCTCAGTCCAGAGGGAATGTCTGTACACTTGCAAATTGTTTCAACCTAGGCAGGTTAGACTAACTTGCAAAATTTGAATCAATTCAGGCTCCTGCTTTTTGAAGGTCTGTCTGTAGCCCTTGAAGCCAGCTACCAGCTGGATGCCTCTTGAAAGCAATTAGGTTCATTCACCAAACTGTCAGAAAAGAGGCAGGA